AATCTGAAATTTCTTTCTGGCTTTAAATAACCTGTGAATGGTTGATAAGCCGTAGAAAAGTAATCAATCAATAAATCTATCGCCATTCAGACATAATTTGCAAAGGTTTAAACGAATTTACAAAAATGGCAGAATCAATAAATCTGTCGCCTTACTGATTTGTATACAATATCAACTTTGCCTCCCGACCGAACTATGTGTTCGCGAGTTACTTGACAAGGAAAGACATTATGTTTAAAAATAAATATTCGTTGCACGGAATAAATCATTTTTTATGACATTTTTAATATCGAGGATTTCTGGATGCACAAATGCTCTCTTGCATAGATCCAGATTTAATTCATGGTGCAAATCATTCAGGTTAAATTGCAACCATTTTTAAAATACCGAAACAGATGTTCAGTTCAAATATATCCATCATAGTCTGTGCATGTCTACTAGTGTTGGCTCTACGGAGACAGTAAATGTTCATTCAATCAAGTATTTTGAAAGGCATCGGACAATGTTACGTTTATTACATATTTAAATAAGTTCTGCGGTGTTAGCGGTATAATATTTCTGTCTTGGTTTTAACACCTGTTCCCAGTTATTGCTAGTATTAAGAATTCAATATGTCGACTGACTTCAGGCATTATCAAGAGAGAAGTTTAAAAATATTCAAAGTATTTTTTGTATTTGGCATATTTATAACCATCTCGAAGGTTTAATATTTGTTTTGTCCTATGAGCCGGGCGTAGTGTTTCTCTTTTGGTCTGTCGGAACTGCTAGGTAACCTTGACTTCTTTGCAAAGTTTATTAGATTAATCCAGAACCAAACCCGGCAGCAAAACCATTGATTACGGATAGAAAAGGAATCAAGTAAATATATAAAAACAGAAATGGTTTTAAGACAAGGGTATATATTGACACCGGAATTATTTAACCTATACCTGGAGGGGATACTGAGAGAATTAGATGTCCTACCAGGATTGGTTTTTGGCGGCCACAATCTTAACAATATAATATATACAGAAGACACGATATTGATAGCTGACAACTGTAATAGCCCCTGCAGAAGGAAGTGAAAGAAAGCGAGAATGTATGATTGTTACCAAGAGGAACAGACCAATAAACAAAATACAAATATGTGATTTCAAAATCAAACAAGTACAAAAACTTAAATTCCTGGGAAGTGTTTAACAGAGGACAAAAAAGTACGATTTTGAAATCCGGGAAGCATTGGGATAGCGGAAGAAGTATTCCTAAAGCTAAGCATAGTATTTAGAAACAGAAAAAAATTTTTTTAGAAACCAAGGAAAAAATAATTAATGTACGTAGTATCCGTCCACTTATAGAGGAGTGAATGCGGAACAATCTCCCCAAATATGAAGAAAAGACTTGAAGCAACAGCAACGTGGTTCTACTGAATGAAGCTGAAGATAACATCGACCGAACATGTGAGCAAGGATGAAGTTTAGAGGATATGGAAACAAAAAGGACATTTATAATTGACATCAGAAAGTGACAGCTGAAATTTCTAGGGTAAATTATAAGGAAAGAGTTCTTGAAAAATTTGTGAATCACTGGACACGTTAAGCACAAGAGAAACCACGCCCTAGCTAACTTGAGTACACCGATGACGGAACAAGGTTTTGGAGAGATAAAAAAAATGACAAACATTAATAAGAGCTAGGAAAATATGAAGTCGTGGAAAGACATGATCGTTAAATTCTTGAAGAACAAGAAAAAGAAGAGAGCTATTGAATTGAATCTTTATTTTGAACTGCTAATGTAGGGTATATATATATATATATATATATATATATATATATATATATATATATATATATATATATATATATATATTCAAATTACTGCCTTATAATTATATTTTTAAATCCTGCTAAAGTGGCATAACGTCACAGGAATTTCCATTTCATTAAATGTATTTATTTTATATATTTACATAATTTAATTAAATGCTGGAAGACTGTCAAAAGTTCAGAAGATAAGAATGAACACGAATTGCGAACAGTTCCTTTGCAATTTCGACATCAAGAGACGAAACCTAATTTGCGATCTGGAAGACAGCATCAGAATAGCTGAAATAATTTAAATATAACGTGAAGCGTCATAATTCCAGTGATTAAATGAAGGATAATAAAATGATTTCGGTTAAGAAGTGGAAATGGAAAGTATAACAGACAAAAGTCATATCTTATACAGACGACTTCTCTGGTAAAAGACGATGTGTTTGATCGCGTAGTGGTAGGAAGGCAAAATCAGAGAAAACTAGAATTTTAATGTTGGCACACACAAAAAAGTATTTCCTTGAACATAAAGAAATGTGAAGACGATGAATTATTCTCCATTCTGTATCTTTAACCTACAGATAAAAGGACACCAGCCATTCAATACTATATCGCTGTTACTATGGAGGAGGAATGGATGAGTTACATTTAGTGACACCAGCTAGGATCATAATTTCTATCACCCACCACGCTGTGGTTACGGTGGCAAACTATATTCATTTCTTTCGTAGTCCAATAATATAAAATCATGTTCAAATATGATAACTTCTTCCAAAGATCTGGTAACCTGTGAAACAAACTTCCGAGTGATGGCTTCTCTAACAACTACATTCTTTGTCCCTTTAAGTCCCTTGATTGATTTATTAATTCTACGGCCGTCCTGGGTATGACGATAAACTACATACGCGTCCTAGGTAAGACGATAAACTACAACCAGCAGCAAGGCTTCAGATCAGGTTTTGAGGAGCGTAGAAACACCTCTTAATCGCTGATGTTCACAGCCCCGCCGTGACCCGGGTGGTAGTACCTGTTAGGATCCCATCTATGGGCAAATAGTTAACCACAAAACTGGGGTAAAAACACTATGAACGTGTAAATATAGGGTTTAATACCAGAAATACTTTGTAAAAAATTATAACCAGCGATAAATCTTTGAAGAAAAAAAAAAAAACTATTACAAGCAATATATTTTTGAGAAAAAAAATATTACCAGCGGTACATTTTTGAACGAAAAATATCACCAGAAATAGCTTTTTGACTATATAAAATATTACCACCAATAAGATTTTGCCGGCATTAAATAACCAATTGAGGTTGGTATGCCGTAAAACAAAACAAACCAAACCAAACATTTTTCTATGTCTTATCAAAAATGTGAAGGTTATTTAATATCAAAGAATATTTTTAGTTTCTAAGAATGTGTTTTTTAGAGATAATAATGATTATACTATTTAACCCTTGACTGGGAGAATAGATGGATTTATACCTTTCCTAAGGATATTTAGCTGCTAGTGAATATGACAAACCAAACTAAAATTGGAACTCGACTTTCTGTTTTCCAATTCCGAGTCGTTAACCATTACACCAATCGTGCATACAAGCTCACAGTACATGATATTCCCAATTGATCACCCATCTAGGTACTGACCAGGCTCAACGTCGCTTAACTTCGGTCATCCTTCGTTTCATATGGTTTAATTTTAGGTTTCTGAGAATATATCTATATATCTCATTCAAGGATAAACAATTCTGAAACATTATTTTTTACACCACCTGCACACCCAAGTTTATCGAGCCTGGTATTCTCAAGCGGGAAACCGGTATTTCAACGACATGCGGCCCTAAGCCTCTTTAATTTTAGAACCACCCAATCTGCATGCTACTTTAGTTTTCACCCCGTCGTGGCGTAATCGTTAGCAAACTTGCCTCGATAAAACAATTACTACTGAGTAATGAGTTCGCTCCTTACAGGATACTCCACACTTTCGGCCTTGTGCCAAATCAAAGCTACGCGTAGAAAATCAATAGGGCACCTCCAGGCGGTGAAATGGTAAGCAAACTTCTCTCGAACAATTACGACTGAGTAGTGAGTTCGATCCAACTTGGGTACCCATTACCTTCGGCCTTGTGTCACATCTAAGCTACGCTTGGAAAATCATTTGGGAACCTCGAGGTGGTGCAATATTTAGCAAGCTTTGTCTCGATAAAACAATTACGGCTGAGTAGTGAGTTCGATCCTCATTGGGTGCCCCACACTTTCGGCCTCGTGCCACATCTAAAACAAGCTTAGAAAATCAATAGGGTACCTCGAGGCGGTGTAATGTTTACCAAACTTTTCTCTCTAGAACAATTACGACTGAATAGGAAGTTCGATCCTCACTAGGTGCCCCACTCTTTCGGCCTCGTGACACATCCAAGCTACGCTTAGAAAATCATTTGGCCAACTCGAGGCGGTGTAATGTTGAGCAAGCTTGTATAGCTGGAACAATTACAAGTGAGTTCGATTCTCACTGGGTGCCCCATTTTTTCAGCCTTGTGCCACATCTAAGCTACCTTTGGAAAATCCCTATATATCCTACTTTTCGTTATACTACTCTCTTACATTTTCCCGGCATCTTTTCTTATGTTTTCCCTCAGTATCTGTCTATCTCTAGAGAAAGCTGGAGCTTGTATTGTGGGAACTGTGTATAAATAAAAGAAAAGATTGTGTAGACGAGATTTTAGCAGAGCTCTCTTTGGGAGAATGCAAACGACGGAAAATAAGAGAAAAATAATTCAAAATATAATCGTCAAAACATTTCTGCTGACTTCAATAAATGTATTTATCTGTGTCTGTATATCTGTGTGGGTATGTTTATGTGTTTGCGTTCATATGCGTGTGGAAGTATATTTACTAACATCTATGCAACCACACTAAAAAATCTGATGCAGCAAATTTTGCAATCAAATTTTGTTTCGCAATTAATTGAACACAGATTGTTCTGAGCAGCTTCGATGTGAGATCTATTTTCAATTTAATTTTCGACATTGTGCTTTGTCGCCCATTGTTGATTGCGTGCAAAATGAAAATAAAATTGTTTTTCCTTTCTGAAATTTCAACCGGCATTGTTTTGGTAAACAGATACACCAACTCCAGAAACACACATCTGAGATTCCAGCAGCTTCTCCTGCCTCAGTTTTTGTTTTCATTTGAATTAAAAATATTTTCCGATGTCCTGTTTATTTGAATTGACGTTTAACCCATGTTATTTCCCTCGATTTTACATTACTTCTACTGAATCAATCAATCTATCTATCTATCTATCTATCTATCTATCTATCACAGCCAGTTCATATCTATTCTATCTATCTATCTATCTATCACATCCATTCATATCTTTCTTTCTATCATCTATCTATCCAGTTCATATCTATCTATCTATCTATCTATCACATCCAGTTCATATCTATCTATCTATCTATCTATCTATCTATCTAGCTATCTCAGTCCTATCTATCTATCTATCTATCTATCTATCTATCTATCTATCTATCTATCTATCTATCACAGCCAGTTCATATCTATCTATCTATCTATCTATCTATCTATCTATCTATCTATCTATCTATCTATCTATCTATCTATCTCAGCCCTATCCTATCTATCTATCTATCTATCTATCTATCTATCTATCTATCTATCTATCACATTCAGTTCATATCTATCTATCTATCTATCACATTCAGTTCATATCTATCTATCTATCTATCTATCTATCTATCTATCTATCTATCTATCTATCTAATCCAAACAAGGTAACAAGGGGTAAAAGAGGAGGGAGGAGTGTACACATTCATCCTCGGCCCTTTGAAAAGTAGATGTTTGATGTTTAACCCTTGTTATATATTTAGGACTGAGTTTCCGGCTGCTTCTACAGACTTCTCATTCCCTTTCACTCTCAATAGCTACTTTGCGTTTTATTGGTATTATCACCTACCTTGGGGGTGTATATTATTATTATTATTATTATTATTATTATTATTATTATTATTATTATTATTATTATTCGTATAGAATTCAGTGCTTCTTTCTCTTAGATTGGCCTCCACATTTTATATATATATATATATATATATATATATATATATATATATATATATATATATATATATTGTGTATTTAAGCAGAAATCCTTCTTTCATACATATTTCATTGAATACGACAGACAAGGTGTTTTTATTTAGTTTTTTATACAATTTCTCATATGTTCTAATAGTTTTTTTTCTTTTCAGATTATAAATTATATAAAAACTGTCCGAATGTTCTTTTTATCCGAGCGCTTTCGGCTATACATTTAGCCATTTTCAAGGATTAAATATTTTAACTGTTAAATAAGAAATTGTTTTTTTGCATCTATGTTTTATAAAATGTTTTCATTTTCAAAATGTTTAAAAACACGGTCAAGATAGTATTTCCATATTCATAGTTAATATTATTAAGTATTTTTTTTTTTAATTTTATTTTATTAATAAGACTTTCATTATTTTAGCCTTTTTTTGCATGTAGATGATGCAATTATATTAGTGTTGTCAACAAGTATGTTACGAAGAGTGTTCGGTAGGTTTCCATGAATATTTAAATGAGCTATGATCAGAAAGGTGTAGAGTGAATCTACGTGCCAAACATGTTGTAGTGTGACCTACATAATTATTTACGAATTTTGATAGATCAGGAATACAGTTACTTAATGGGCATTTAAATTCGTAAATAATAATTGCCTTATTTAATTTTGTTCTAAGCGATGGATTATTATTTTTAACAATAAGCTTAGAGATTTTAATTTTTTTGTAATAAATAATTAAAATAATTTTTTGTTATTGTCAACTGCTGTTATGCATTTTTTTTTATAATGTTCTTAATTCTGCTTTCATCTTGTTTATAATTTTCTTTTGTTTTATTTTTATATAAAAAATAATGTCATTGTTTATGTTTCTATTGTCATTGTTGCTATTAGCTACTTTAGATAGAAAACACCTAATGTGGAAATCCAACGATTGAGTATGAAATCCGTTATTAATCAGCATTTGTTTTACATTTTTTAATTCGTTAAATAAAAACGTGCGAGAGGATGAATTCTTTTATACTGGTAGGTTTTCCGTCAATGTGGCATGAACTATATTGTTCAATAATTACAGGAATGTCACACTTATTATCCGAAAGTTGCACGTTGGATCAGTTATTTTAATTTCGATTCTCCTATTACTATATTTATACAAAAACGCACAACTTTAAAATTTAAAATTCAAACTCAGCATTGCAATCGCATGTTCCAAAACAATAACACATTTATCATAGCATTTTTTCGGATTACATCTATATTTTCGTTGTCCTCTTATCACCGAGAAGTAAAAAAACAAGAACAAATCTATTTCCATACCTGAGGATGTCTGTAGGAACAGACGAAAACTTGTAAAAACTAAAAAAGACCTTATGCAACTGGAATTTATAAACGGGGATCATATCATTCATATACATGTTCGGGGTTAGTGTACCTCATTAAAATTGTTTGCGAGGATGTATTCTCGCCATTTAAATCATTAACCTCTATATTTGTTTTTTGTATGAATGATTCATGTAATTATATATATATATTATATATATATATATATATATATATATATATATATATATATATAAAGCGTAACTGAGATGGGACACAAGGCTTAAAGAATATAAGCACCAAGTGAGGAGTGAACTCATTTCTCAGTCTTAATAGATCTAGCCTGTAAAAGTGCTCTGAACTCTCAGCACAAGATTTGTTATGATTATACGTCGTTTTTTATTGGTGCAATATATAAATAATATGAATAAAAATATGTTTGCACATTGTTATATATTTTGAAGTTTGAAAAGAGCAAAAGAAAAAATAACTGTTGTTATGTCATGTATTTGACAACAAACAAACATATATATATATATATATATATATATATATATATATATAATTATTTTTTTAAATATGATACCATCGCTACATAAAGGTTCTCATGTGTCAAAAAAATTAAGCTAAAAATTTCAATTCAGTTATAGAAATCAAATTAAATTAATGTACCTAGTTCTGTTTCCTCCTCAAGCGAATTATTTTTGAAATTTACGGAGCTTTATAGGCATATACTTTTAAGCATAATCTCCGTAAATTTCAAAATTCGTTATTCTAAAATTAGCTTGAGGGTGAAACAGAACTTGTAGTTACTTTAATACAATTTAATTTCTATAATTGAATTGAAGTTTTTAGCTTCTGTTTTTAAACATGAGAACTCATATGTAGCGATGGAATCATATTTAAAAAAAAAAAGGCATATATAATACAGTGTCTGCTTGTGTATCGAGCACTGTTTTGTAAAATAAAAACAAAAATATTTAAGAACTTTGGATTATTAACTTAACGAGTCATTCCTATTTTTCTATATATTTACACACACACACACACACACACACACACACACACACACACACACATATATATATATATATATATATATATATATATTTGTCCGGGAATTCATGCCGATCATTAAGGGAAATTAAAACACACAAAAGATAAATATTATTAAATATTTATCCAACTAAATGTGAACTATTTCAACTTAAAGATTTCATCTTTCTTGGATTTCGATGATTTCTCGGCAAAGATCAAAGGTGGTTTTTATATCATCCAAAGAATTAGAATTTTTATGTATAGGGAATATGGCGAGTGAGGTAACACATCTCAACCTTGCTGCAATAGATTTTGCCGGGTCGCCAAACAAACGTGAGATCTGGCACTATCTTGATGGAAAACAACACCATTCCCGTTCGCCAATTCTGGGCGTTTTTCTTGAATCGCTGCTTTTAATTCGTTCAGTTGCGAGCAGTACTTTTCAGAATCAATTACCTGGTTACTTGGCAGAAACTCGTCGTACATGATTCCTTTCCAATCCCACCAGATGCACAGCATGACTTTCTTACGATGAAGACCTGCATTTGAGGTGGGTAAAGTTGGCCCATGTCGCTTATCCCAGGATCAGTCTCGATGAAAATTGTTGTAAACGAACCATTTTTCATCACCTGTCAAAACCTGCTTAAAAAAGTGTACATATTCATTGCGGTTATACAGCAACTCGTAAATGAAATGCGAAAGATTCTTTTCACTGAGATCACAGGGTAACCAAATATCGTATCAATTTGAGAACTCCAGCTTTACTAAGTGTTTATGCATGGTGGATTTCGATAAATTTAGAGTTTCTGCCAGACGCCGAGATGTTTAATGCAGGTCATTCTCAATGAATGTCTTGATTTGGTTGCCATCTGTAGTCCAGGGAAGTATCTGCCTGAGCGTACTTTATCAATAAGGCTACAATCACCAACTCAGAACTTAGCGAACCACTTCGGTACATTTCTCTTTGCTAAAGCCCCTTCAGCGTACACAGCGCATATCTTCGTTTTATTTAGGACTTGCGAACCATTTTTGCGTTTACGGTAAAAAAAAAAAAGCATCACGTGTCTAAAATGCATCTTATAATCTTCCAACTTCATAGGGATGCATTTTTGAGGGATTTTTTGTAGTTTCCTTCTTGCGTCTGTTAACAGCACAGCAAAATGGAAAAAAAATGATTACAAATTTTAGAATAGGTATATATCAAAAGTCGGCTACCTACCTTCAATGAGATATATTCAATTTCAGGGCGAATGAGTTAAAATTTATACAAAAGGTGAAATAATTAATACTTAGTTATTCGGGGTTAAAGCTCTCGTTATTGTATTTGCCTTATCTATTCAGGGCCTAGACGGTCATGACTTTCCACTATTTCTTGTCTTTTAGAGTTAATAAGTTTTGTTATTTTGTTATCTCTTCTAAAAAATGCTACTACATTTATTTACTCAAGCTTGCTAGGTAAGTTATCCATTCTTTTCGATTCTCCATTTTATCTTCAGTCTGTCTGAGTATCAAATATTCCAAGCCCTCTTTCCTCATTATGTGTTTCAATATTTCGACAGTCTCTTCCTGATGGTAAGTATAAGTGACTTTTTTGGTCGCATTTTCTTAGAACTTAAGATCTGTCCATGGTATTCTCAATATCCTTTTGTTTGGTTTTAGTAGAACCTGTCTCCCTAATTGAATGCACCTTCTCATTTGAGTAGGCTTATTCTACAGACTTCATGTCATGACAAAGGCGAAAAACAAGGAACTGGATGAATTCTTTCTATACGTTTCCAAATGTCACCGACCCTGTTCAAACTTCTGGCAATATGGCAACGCACACAGATACCTCTGATGAGATATAGTTTTTGAGATAACATTGGTGAAGTTAATTATTTTATGTTCTGATTATCTTCGGTAAAAAAGAAGAATATGAAACTGTTTTTCACCGCACGAATAACCGCCATCTTTCTTCCCTTGGCCTTGTCCAGACTAAGTAGTTATAAATACTAAAAAAAAAAAAAAAATCTTACGTGTATATCTAAAATCCAAAACGAAAGACATGAAAGAATGCAATGAAAGTCTGGAAATGTAATATGAAGAATGAGAAAAATAGATTATATGAGAGAAAAATAAAGGAATTCGAAGGAAAGGGAAGAAAAATACAAAAGATTGTTTCAACGGAAGAAAGAAATGGATAGGAAAAACAATTATAAAAGATAAGATAAACTCTGAGAGAGTTGTGTCAGGGAAATTAACGTTGATTGGAAAGCTAATGCCGCGATATATAGGTCAATGGGTTTTGTGCATTCAATCAGTAATTTTGTTTTGAACCAATCTAGTGATGGCAAATATGAAACACCTTACTTTTTCATATTCAAAAGTCATTGTTTTTTTTCTTTTTGCAAATGGGAAAAAGCAAGGAGAGACAGATTGTTAAGAAAAAGCAAGGAGAGACAGATTATTAAGAAATTGGATCAATTCTCTCTCTCTCTCCTCTCTCTCTCTCTATCTATCTATCTATCTATCTATCTATCTATCTATCTATATATATATATATATATATATATATATATATACATATATATATATATAACTATCTAAGTCTATTCACATATATCTATTACAGTCTATTTATCTATCTATCTATCTATCTATCTATCTATCTATCTATCTATCTATCTATCTGTCTAACTAACTACCTTTCTGATAGTATCTATCTATCTATCTATCTATATATATATATATATATATATATATATATATATATATATATATATATATATATATATATATATATATATATATAAATTTATCTCTCTATCACTGTTTCTATATCTCTCTGTCAACTATCTATCTTATATATATATATATATATATATATATATATATATATATATATATATATATATATATGTGTGTGTGTGTGTGTGTGTGTGTGTGTGTGTGTGTGTGTGTGTGTGTGTCTGTAAATAAAAAGAAAGAACAGTAAGATATATAAGCCGGTGTTCTTATAGATATTTTTATTTTTTTTAGAAAATAGTGCTCATCGTATATTTACAGAGCATTTATATTATGAATTAATTGATTTAAAATATGCGAAAAAAATATTTTAAATGTATATAACAATTTTAAATCAATTTATTATATATATATATATATATATATATATATATATATATATGTATATATATATATATATATATATATATTTTTTATATATATAAATTTATCTCTCTATCCTTGTTTATCTCTGTCTATCTATCTATCTATCTATATATATATATATATATGTTCGTATATATCTATCCATGAATTTATCTCTCTCCTTGTTTGTATCTATCTATCGATCGATCGGTTGATCTATCTATATGTGATCTATCTATATGTGTGCGTTGCTCTCCCTACCTGTCTCTCTATCAATTTATTTTTCACCAAATATATAGAAAGTGCTGGAGATTTCGCGAAGCAGGTTCAAGTTCTAGTGGTGCCAACTTTTACTATTTTCGTAATAATGAAGCACAGAAGTTAGTAATCGTTTAATCTTATTTCGTTGTGATGACACCAGTAATATTGGTGCTAATAAGCGCACGCACGCATACACACATACACAATCACATACACACACAATCACACACAAACACACTCACACACAAACACACCTTCGCGTAACTACACACACAATCACACACTCTCCAACACAAACACTGACACGCATACGCAAGCGCACACTACTATCATTACAAGTTCAAGCGTAGGGCTAATAGTTATCTTCCCCTCTTTTCCTCATAAATTATGCGTCTTACTGCGTTACACTTTACCTCTAGTAGCTCTTGAGCCTTGTACAAGTTCAGAATCATTCTTAAAAAAAGAAGGAAAACATTTTACAGCTAAGATCCCCCATACTGCGTCCACAGAATCAAACCATTGCTCCTCCTTCCGTATTCATATTACAAGGAGAAAATTCCACTGACAAGTTTTTCTCAAGAATCATTGCTTTGTGCAACAGACACACGAAGACTTCCTCCAACACTACATATTTCCCATATTCAAGCCAAGTATCAGCCGTTATATATCCTCCTTATATAGTTTTTCTTTTAATAGGTATCATCCCAAACAGGAAAGTAAGGCCAATGAAACCCAAAGGGTTAAACGTTGTGGAAGAATTAGTAACGGGGACATTAATAATGAGATGAAAGACAAAAGAATAATCAGGAGAAAGATAGATGAAGAAAAGCGCAATCAGAATCATCATTTCTTACCTTCTACTCTTACTACATCAAACACCTCGTTCAGTAGAACATCTACCTTGAGTGATTCTTGAGCCTTCAATTGGTTGAATTTTAATTAAAACATTTTGAAGGCGCCTATGATTAATGTCAGTTATGTGTCATGCGCAATACACGCTTAGGCGATCATGTATCTTTCGATACATATCTGACGAAGCGGATTTTTCTCGCAGTAGTTTGCCATTTCTTTCTGTGGTAGACCAGTAGACATCCAAGTCTATAGAACCCGGTCTGTCCTACTATTTATCCAAGGGTATTCACGTAAGATAATGCAATGGATTCGACTGGAATTCGAACTCCGCTCTCCGAATCCTCCAGCCGAGCCGCTATCTATTATTCTAAAGTGTACTGCGCCTTATTAGACACCGAGTCATCCATTTTCAGTATTTGATTTATTTTATATCTCTTTGGTTGTCTTTGTTCTACAGAATTATTTAGACATTACAAATCATTCTAAACTCTTTCCTAAATTAACTTATTCCTTGTCATGAGCTTTCAAACTTCCACTGCAGATTTTCATAAAGAATAAACGTGAATAACCTCAAATTTTATTTCCTGCAAGGATTTCTCCAAACATAATAATACATGTTCTTTGCAAGAAAATATATAAAGATTAAGCATGGACAAATGAAAAGAACCAAATAAATTTAAAATACACAGCAAATATTGCCAATCCTAACTTAATACCGTGGCGGTGTAAATGAACCCCGAATTATGAGACCAGCTATAAATTCTATATATGTCTATATTTTTTAGATGAGACATTGCAACTATTTACACTATTTACTTTGTTCAGGCTGTTCTCATCTTTTTTTTTTTTGTCATATTCACGTCGTTTTGACCGCTGTAAGCTTCAGCCTTCTTCCGTTGATTGGAATATCGAACCGGACCCTTTATTTCCTCCAGTGGGGTAGATTGTTCTAGATCCATGCGACGTGACTCTTCTGTATCTCGTAATATCTGTTATCTCCCTTTAAACTCAAATCAAGTATTTCTTCACCGAGTAGTCAGGTATCAAACTCATAACTGTTTGGGTCAAGTCACTGGATTCAAACACACCGGGTCATGTGTCTACGTGGAACTAGACCAATTTTCCCCGGTGGACGAAATAAGGGGTTCGAATCAAAATTCCAATCATCTGAAGAAACGTCGTGGGTACAACATTTAGAACAAGGATTTTTTTTTTTGTGTGTGTGTGTGTGCTTTTTTTTTTTTCTTTTTGTCTCCCGTCACCCGCCTTAGGCAAGATAACCTGATGGAGCGCAACCCTTTCCAATGTTTCAAATTCAGATTTGTCCTTCTCCTAGACCGGTGGTCTCTCACGGCTATAGAACCTTTCCCTTCTGCTATTTACCCATAGCTGGGAGAAGGAGAAGAGGATTTCTGCCGTTCCCAGGGGTTTTAGCACGACTGGAATTCGAACTCGGCTCTCCGATTCCTCAATCCGAGCCGCTATCCATTACTCCACCATACCTCCCTTAACAATGTAAATAAAATGATATTTGTAATCCATTTATGCATTTATTTATGCAAACGAAATATATGTAGAGCATATAGAACTGATTTTCGAATTTCCTTGTTATATTTACTGTACCTTGCCGTGTCCCTTCTGCACGTTGGCTGTCATGGTTTTCCACAATTCCCTCTCCTTTGTAGCCCTTAGTTAATTTTATCCTTTCATTATCTCTCCTAAACCCTGTTACGTCATCCATTTGCACAAACTCATTAGGTAGATTATGAACTAATATCCTGTCACTCTTACCTTTTGTACATCATGTGGGTGCCAAATTTTCCAGTCCCTCTTTCTTCATTATGTACACTAGAAATTTCAATTGCCTCTCTTTGATGTTAAGTACAAGTTTCCTTTTTGCATACGTTTTCTATAAAACTTCGTCATTGCTCACATGTTCAGTCTATGTTATTCTTTACATCATTCTGTAAAACTATATTTCTGCTGTATCAAATCTCTTCTTCATCTCTAGGAAGATTCTTATGAATTCATTGCCATATAGGAGGACTGATGTTATGTAACAGTTCAGTAAGTTTATTTTATTTATTTTTTTTGTTATTAACGAAATTTTATGGTTTATACTGTACTGAATAAATATGTCAAAATATTACAAAAGGGACAAATATGTTATTAAAATGATGTAAAACTGGTTAACACAAGAATATTAAATGCAAAGAGTACTTATCAATAAGTGACCTGTTTGTTTCACTACTGGGTCTTTGAAACGGGTCCCGATTGTTAAGTGAATAATAACTACATTTTACTTGTTTTGTTCATACTTTGCATTATACCAATTTAATGTTTTATCAATTCAAACGTAATTTAATTTTGTATAAACACTCTTCCAGTGCCATGCTATTCAGTAATCTTTGATCTTGAAAAAATTAAATGCTACTCGTTAACTAATGTCTTCTTGATTACTCTTATTTTACTGTTCTCGCTCATTAATAATGTTTCTCATTTTTTTCTTATTCCTTAACACATAGTAAACCCTTGTGTCATAATGGTTTTACTGCCTTGCTTGTAGTGAAATTAACAAAAAAAGTAAATAAAATACCTAATAAGATAGGTTTATCAACACTTTTCGCTGAGCTAGCTACGACTTTCCGACCACAGACAAAGACCAGTGTTCAAACGCAGACTACAAGTTGAGAGGTTCATATGTTTATTTTCAATGTAATCATCTCTCCCTGCTATGGAAAGTTATACAACCCAGCCGTTGTATTACTCTCGCTTACGATTTAATGCTTAGTAATGATCTTTATAGAATGTGTATGTTAAGAGGGAAGAGAGAAAGAAAGGACAGGAAATAAAGGGTAGAGAGTTATTTAATAAAAAAGGAAAACCGAACGATGACGAGAGTCCATTGATGTTTTGTATAGTTTCGTTTCTTTTTTTACCATTTTTTTTTAAAAAAAAAGAAAAAAAAAGTTCTTCAGCTGAGACGAGGCCAAGTGACCAGATCGGAGGAGGATAATGAGCCAAAAATTTTGCAGATAAAACAAAACGCTAGACAGAAATTACGAGAAAGAGTAAAATAAAACATAAACATGTTGCAAAAATCCGGGACAAATTAAAAAAAAAAAGGAAAAAAAAATCAAAACAGAAAATTTATTTAAGAACAAAGGCACGAAAGAAGGAGATACTATATTTAGGTTTGGTGTTTTTTAAACGAGAAAAAATATCTTTTGTCTCTTCGCTTTTCTTGTCTTTATTGCCTTTACTCTTGACTGTTTTGCCTCACAGCTTTTTACTCCTTATCTCGTTTCTTCAGCTCTCTATCATACCCTTTAACATTTCTCTATCATATTCTTTGTTTTCAGATCTCGTTTTTTTTATTCCTCTTACTCATTCATTCATTCATCCTTTCTTTCTTTCTGTTGCACATTTAATTTTTAAATTCTTGATCTTTCTCTTTGTTTCCAAATCTTTCCTTCTTTCTCCATTTCTTTCGTCTTAGTTTTATTTTTTACAATCTTCATTTTCCTCTTCGATTCCTGCATTATAACTTTTTCCTTTGTTTGTTCTTTATTTCTTTCTTTCGTTCTTCACAGTTTACAATTTTTCTTTCTTTATTTTTTGTCTTTGTTTCTTTCATTATAACTTTTTCTTTAATTCTTTCTCTCTTTATTTCTATGCGTTCTTTCCGTGTTTTCTTTCTTTTATTCTTTTTCTTCCTTTTTTTCTTTCGATCTTTCTTCTCGATTTTCACTTCTTCGTTTTTTATGTTTTTTTCGTCACTCCTTTCATTAGGCCTTTATCTGATTCCTTTCTTTTTTTTCTTTAAATCTTTATTTCTTTTTTTTTTATTTCTTTCTTTCGTTCCATCTTTCTTTCTTCTCAGTTTTCATTTTTACATTATTCATTTGCCTCCTTCATTTTTCTTCTTCATTTCCTTCATTATATCTTTCTCCCCTTCGGTAATTCTTTCTTTTTTTCTTTTCGTTTTTCCTTTCTTCCAGACTTATGATCCACTTATTCTCACAATTTTTCCTTTAATTATTCTAATAGGTTTCTAATATGAGCTTCTCATTAATATTCTTTTTTCTTACAGTTCGTTACTTAATGTTTCAGTCATATTTTTTACTTCATTCATTCATTCATTCATCAATAAAAACATTTTTTTACATTTCTTTTATCTCACTTACATTCTTGATTTCCGTATTTTCATTGACTCTATGTTTCCATCTCTCTTTCTTCCTTAATTATTTCTTAATGTATTTATTATATATATATATATATATATATATATATATATATATATATATATATATACTTTTCTTTCTTACTATATATGTAATGTAACTTCTGTTTCTCCCTTCATCAATTTCCATTCTTTTTCTAGTGTTTCCTCCTGAACAATAGTTTTTATACTTTACTCTTCACTCACCAAACGTTATTTCTTCTTTAAATGAAATATCATACTTTTGTACATGTATTAATTAATTCCTCTTTCTTTCTTTCTTTCTTTCTTTCTTTCGTCTTTTCTTTATTTCTTTCTTTCTTCTCAGTCTTTTTTTTACTGTTTTAAAATTTCATCTTCATTTCTTCATTATAAATTAATTACTTTCTTTCTTTTTCCTTTCTTTCAAGTTTTCTTCTTTAAATTCGTATTTCCAGTTCTCTTCGTTGCTTATAATTTTATTTCTTTTTACTCGTTGCTTATAATTTTATTTCTTTTTTTTTTTTTTACTTCATCTTTCCTTTCCTCTTTCTCTCTTTCTTTTTCTTAATCTTTTCCCCACTACAGTTTTTTTTTGTGTCCCTTCATATAGTTTCTATCTTTAGTCTTTCACCCTAAATCAGTCAGCATACTTTTTCTTTTTTTGACCCTCCTTCTTTTCTTTTCTTTCTTTCTTTTCTTTTTTCTTTCGTTCTTTCTTTTCCCTAAATCAGTCAGTATATTTTCCATTTTTAATTTTTCTTTCCCTTTTTTCCCTAAATGATATAGTTTCTGTTTTGTGACCCTTTCTTTCTCTTTCTTTCCCTAAATCAGTCAGTATTTTCTTTTTGTGACCCTAATTTTTCTTTTTCTTTCCCTAAATCAGTCTTACTTTTGTGTTTTGTGACCCTTTCTTTCTTTTCTTTTTTTCTTTCTTTCTTTCTTTTTCCTTTCTTTCCCCGAAATCAGTCAGTATTCTTTTCTATTTTTTTCTTTCCCTTTCTTTCTTTCTTTCTTTCCCTAAATTCAGTTTTTTCTACTTTGTGACCCTAATTCTTTCTTTCTTTCCCTTTCTTTCTTTCTTTTTCCCTAAATCAGTCAGTATTCTTTTCTGTTTTGACCCTAATTCTTTCTTTCTTTCCCTAAATCAGTCACCCTTTTGTGACCCTAATTCTTTCTTTCTTTCTTTTTTCTTTCCCCCCTAAATCAGTCAGTATTCTTTTCTGCTCTGTGACCCTAATTCTTTCTTTCTTTCTTTCTTTCTTTCTTTCTTTCTTTCCCCTAAATCAGTCAGTATTCTTTTCTACTTTGTGACCCTAATTCTTTCTTTCTTTCCCCTAAATCAGTCAGTATTCTTTTCTACTTTGTGACCCTAATTCTTTCTTTCTTTCTTTCTTTTTTTCTTTCTTTCTTTTTTTCCCCCTAAATCAGTCAGTATTCTTTTCTGCTCTGTGACCCTAATTCTTTCTTTTTTCTTTCTTTCTTTCTTTCTTTCTTTCTTTCTTTCTTTCCCCTAAATCAGTCAGTATTCTTTTCTACTTTGTGACCCTAATTCTTTCTTTCTTTCTTTCTTTCTTTCTTTCTTTCTTTCTTTCTTTCCCCAAATCAGTTTTCTTTTCTTTTTGTGACCCTTTCTTTTTTTTCTTTCCCTTCAGTCAGTTTCTTTTCTTTTCTTTCCCTTTTTCTTTTTCCTTTCTTTCTTTTTTTTTTTTTTTCCTAAATCAGTCAGTATTCTTTTCTGCTCTGTGACCCTAATTCTTTCTTTCTTTTTTTTCTTCTTTCTTTCTTTCTTTCTTTCTTTCTTTCCCTTTCTTTCTTTCTTTCCCTAAATCAGTCAGTATTCTTTTCTACTTTGGACCTAATTCTTTCTATTTTTTCTTTCTTTCTTTTTCTTTTCTGCTTTGTGACCCTAATTCCCTTTCTTTCTTTCTTTCTTTCCCCTAAATCAGTCAGTATACTTTTCTATTTTGTGACCCTAATTCTTTCTTTCTTTCTTTTTTTCTTTCTTTCTTTTTTTCCCCTAAATCAGTCAGTATTCTTTTCTGTTTTGTGACCCTAATTCTTTCTTTCTTTCTTTCTTTCTTTCTTTCTTTCTTTTTCAGTCAGTATTCTTTTCTTTTTTTTTCTTTCCCCCTAAATCAGTCAGTATTCTTTTCTGCTTTTAGACCCTAATTCTTTCTTTCTTTCTTTTCTTTTTTCTTTCTTTTTTTTTTCCCCCAATTCTTTCTTTTCTGCTTTAATTCTTTTCTTTCTTTCTTTCTTTCTTTCTTTCTTTCTTTCCCCTAAATATTTCACATTACATTATAATTCTTTAATTCTTCCCTCAATCAATTTCTTTTCTACACCCTAATTTTTCTTTCTTTTAAATTCATTTCTTTTCTAGGTTTTTTCTTTTTTCTTTCTTTTTTTCTTTCTTTCTTTTTTTATTCTTTTCTGCTGATCTTTTTTTTCTTTCTTCTTTCTTTCTCGTCTTCTTACATTAAATTTTTAATTTCACTCAACTTTATTTTCATTTCTTTGCCATTTTCATTTCGTTGCTAGGTTTTCTTTATCTTATTTTATGTTTATTGCTGATCTCTCTTTCATCTTCTCATTAAATTTTGTTTTCCTTCTTTTCTTTCTGCCATATTTTTGCCTTTTTTGTTTTCCCATTTCCCACCTTTCAACGCTTTTTTATTTTACTTTCCTCATTAATAATTTCAGCATCGCCATTTCTCTCTCCATTTCCGAGTTATTTAATTTCTCCCTATATATTTTTTTCATTTTTTTTTACTCCGTTCTACTTTCACCCCACAAACGAAAAAAATATCAAATTAATGCAGTCTTTCTATAATGAGAAGACCAATTACTGATGACCTCCTCAGTAGAAATCTAAATCACAAGCCAAGTCCACGCATGCGTGTATCTAGATGAACTTCCGCTTATCATTATATGTGTGTGGTTTGGCCCGTTAAACGGATTTATCTTCCTACGTGTCTAATGCCTCCAATCTTGTTTGATGCTTTTCGTTCGTGCGTTTGCACATTGATTACGTAGCACTAAACTCACAGACAATGTTGTGCAAATCTGCATTTCTGAAATTAGAGAAATCTAAACTTTTTCCAAACAACATTCCCAAAATACTGAGGATTTCTATGAAAAAAATAGATATCGGTGCTTAGGTTGGTTGATTTTGTTTAGCGGCATGTCAAATCGTATGCGTTATTTAATGCTGAAATCTAATTTTTTAGCACAATGATTGGCATCAACTACACATAAAATGAATTGGTGAAAATACTGCTATAAATTAAGATATTGTAGATATTTTTAAAAATTAAAATGCGTTGCTTGTATTTTTACTATAAAGATGTGTTTTTATATAGTCTTGTTCTTGATGATGACTTCATAATTTGCCCATAGCTTGGACCCTAAAAGATGCTACAAACCGGGCTACGGTAACCCTGGGAGCAACGTCAATTAAGAGAGGGTTCCAGTTTTTCAAAACCTCCAATCTCAGAAGGTTTGTTGCCGGGTGTAGTTTATCGCCATACCCAGTAGATATCGGTGGGTAGTTTTGTTGGCATTCATATAAATATAAAATAAATAAATAAAATATAAATAAATATTCATGGTCCAAAGTTCTCCACTTCAGATTTTCAGGTAGTTCTATAGTCGAAAGCAGTGTCTCTCAACCGGGATTCCCCGGAACCCCAGTGTTCTGTCAGAAGCTGCTAGAAGTTCCTTGAGAAACATTAATAAATAGGCTAATGAATTTTTCATTCATTTGTGTTTAATTTAATGTCTACAATTTAGCTATACACCTGGGGCGTATTGTTGGAAAATTATTGGTTATTATGATAAATGCTAAAACAAATAGATATTAATAATTGCATGTAATATTGTTTATTCAGGGGTTCCCCGAGACATGAAAACTATCACAGTTTCCACAAGGGTACGAAGGTTGAGAAACGCTGAAATTAAATTAAAGAGCTGGTTTTGGAATGTATGGTAATTGGGAATTCATGGGCCAGTACTGCAGAATTAGATGTAGTGGCAAGAGGTCAAACAATAATCTACCTGTACCGAAAAGAAGAGGACGAAATATACCTATATATACATTGGGAAGAGAGTAAAAAGGTCTTTGTAGGTTAATTTCAAATTGTCCTGGAGGTTATCGGTATCGACCAGCATAGAAAGAAGGACAGAGCGAAACGTTTTTATAATAACTACAAAGACGGGGAAATTAGTTTCAATATAAATAATGAAGATTTTTCATTCCAGAAATTTAGACATAATTATCTGTCTCGCGATATTTAGAAGCCGTTTAATTCGATGACTTTCAAATATTAAGATTTCCTGTGTCTTTTCTATAAATATTTTCAGCGAAATTGTTCTGACGAACTTTCCTCTGTGCTAACTAGAATTTGTTAATTTGAGCGCAGTACTAGATTGGCCATAAGGTATCATCATTTGACAGTGGAAATACTGGGTATGAGGACAAATTACCTCCCACAACAAGGCCTTTCATTAGGAGATTTTTAGGAGCGTTGAACCATCATTTAACTTCTCTTTTTGCAAGGTCCATCCAGACACCGGGTGATACCAACCGTTATTGTCCAAACTAGGTGTAAATTGTTAACACCCAGGCTCCAGACTGGGTGTTAACAATAACTATGAAAGTATAAAAATACATTTTTAAAGTAGAAATGGAAGCAATGCATTTTCATAGTAAAGGAATTTCCAGCAATACATTCTGTAAGGAAAGAATATCACCATCAATACTGTTGGGGCGCACCCACCTTCTAACTAGAAATGGGCTGGTCCCTCTTATATAAGTCAGCTCTAGAGAGTGGACGGGGAGAACGTCAGCGACAGCAGTCCAGATAAGCTTACCCCGTTACATACCGTTGGACTATAGACGTTGGATATTGTTTCGTACTAACCAACCTTCGTTCTACTAATCACTCTATTGTTAATTGCTTTTACAAATATACCAGTATTTTCCCCTACAACTGTGTTTGTCTTGATTCGTACACCCACACGCGGGAAAACTCTCAACAAATACTCTTAAAAACATAATACCAGCAATATATATTTTTAAAAGAAAAATTGCCAGCAATATATTTTTGAAGAAAAAAGGTACCACCAATACATTTTTGCAAAAAAAAAAAAAAAAAAAAAAAAAATTACTAATGCTCCTAAGAAAATTAAATTTTGGTATTAAAAGAGTCATAAGTTGTTCATATTCCAAACAAAACTAAAGGAAACATTGGAAATGGCTAGATGTAACCGGAAGTTTCTTCAAACACGATTCTCGCTTTTGGAAATCTCTTCCGGTTTCTTGCTTTCCAGTCAAGTTTGATATTCAAAAATTGAAATACAATGTCAATCGTTATATACTGTCTTTTTAATTTCTGTTTTTATTGTTCTCTCTCAGTAATAGTGTTTCATCATATTTTCTAACATTCTGTCACTCGTTAAGTGGCTTTATTGCCTTATTTAGAATTGAAATGATTAATAAAGCTCTGATTGTCAATAGTATATAAGCACTTACGTCTTATTTGTGAGGTTATATCTTTTAACCATGGAAAAGCAGGCATAATCTGTTAGTATTTTCAAACAGACATTTTTTAACAAAATTAAAATTCCGATATAATCTTGACTACTACACCTGTAGAGCGCTATTGGCTGAGTGTTTAAAACTTTAGAATTCCGACCACGAAATCATCGAGGTTAATTTTCGATAATATCAGTATAGAGAGACGATCGATGATTCTCAACAACTTAGCTTTTTTTTTTTCGTCTGTTTAAGCTCGGCATAAGTTATGTCATTTTCATATTTTCCCTTGTTCCGCAAATCGTTCTCACAACCTCGTTAAGTATGTTATAAACTACTTTCCTCTGTAACCTCTTGGTTTCAATATGTCCTGTGAATGTTAAATACTGCAAGCTATTTTTTTATCTATTATTTACGCTAGAACATCCTATCACCTCTTTCCGCTTCTAAATATGGACTCTCAGTATTCAGGCGGTTTCATATACCCAGATCCTTCTGTGAGGCTGTGTCGCTTCATGGCATTTACGATCAGGGCTCTCCGCAATTTTCTGCCCTTTGTATTCCTTCATATATTTTGTTTTTTTGCCATCTCGCCTGAACCTTGTTCTGCTATACATTTGCTCAATGTAAATCATATGCTACTTTATTCTGTCCATATTCCCTTGAGTCTGTTCTTTGAGTATGAAATTATTTTTTTTTTCTCGTTATGTTCTAGAATGTTCAACTGACTTTTTCTGATGCTAATTTTTTATCCCTTTTGTTGCTTAACTCGGTGCAATCCGCGCACACATCAAGCAGCACGTAATGAAAGATCAAAACGTAACCACCAACATAATCTACTGCACTCAAAGCAAGCGTAAAACTATATTAGCTCTTATACAAAATATTATAAAAAAAAATTATAAAAAATATTATAAAAAAAAAAATATCATTCGCCGCTGGCGAATAATATAATCAGAGGAGGCACGGTGGAGTAAAGAATAGCGCCGTGGGTTGAGGAATCGGAGAGCCGAGTTCGAATTCCAAACGAATCCATTACATTCACTTACGTGCTATTACCCTTGGGAAAGGTGGGAATCGTCTTCTTCTCCCTCCAGATATGGGTAAATAGCAGGAAAGACTGGGTTCTATAGCCTTGGATGGCAACTGGTCTAGGAGAAGGAAAATTCTGAATTCAAAACCTACGGAGGGTCGTTTGGGGAACTTATTCTGTAATTGGCCCTTCAAAATGTGTGGATGGTCCTGCACGAAACCTTCACCACTATAATCAAAATCTCATGTGCTATACATGCAGGTTGGGGACCGCTTGTGAATTCCAAATTCCCATGAAACTCCAATATTGGAGCCGGCTCAACCCACCCCGGGTGAATGCCGTTACAAGTAGACTGTCCTAGTTCTACGTGCCATGTCTAATGGATGTCAGTTATCTCCTGTTAATTCCTCTCTAAAAATTCTCCACCGCCTTAACCAGAAATTGAACTCACACTCTTTGGGTCCTGTCACTGGATCTAACTAACGCCTTTATCGACAGATATTCTGGATCAGTTCGGGTAGCCTCGTTCTTAACGGAATTACTCTATATCTTAATAGCCTCTTTTATACGGAATCCACGTATTTATGCCCAACGTGTTTATAAATGTTCATACTCCAGTGTGTATAGAATCATTTCTTAAGGTCGATGATTGAATATCTGCGATCCACTAGCTCTTAAAGGGGAAACATCATTTTACGGACCTCGTGGGCAGTCCGCTACAGAATCACAAAGAACTATACCAAATAAATGAAAACACAAATGTTTAAGCATTTCAGCCCAA